GAGGAGGACGAGGAGGACGAGGACGAGGAGGACGAGGACGAGGAGGACGAGGACGAGGAGGACGAGGAGGAGGACGAGGAAATGTGGCAGTAAAAATATTGTACTTGCCCCAATACCTGGTACTTCACAATAATGGCAATCATTTCACTACTAATTTTTTAAGTCATGGTTTTATATTTTTGAGGACACTGCTTTTTCTTAAATCTCAATGTATCATTGCTTACGACTATTAGTATTCTTCCACCCACCTGTTAACCAGTATTTGTTAAATATATCCTGCATACAGATCTGTGTCAGAGATTCTAGGTAAATCCTCTTCTCAGAGAGGTTATGCTTGACCCCAGGGGTGAAGGTTATACTGCATCAGAACATATAACAGAGCAATATCCACGAGAAACACAGACAGGGTGTGTGGGCACCTCAGAGAGAGACAGGTTCCTTCTGTCAGACAAGGAAATGCTTCATGCTTAGGTATTATTAGTTGTGTTTTATTCTCTGCTCTTTTGGGGGCCCACCACCCAGCTCCCAAATTAAGACACGGAGACACATTATTACTTATGAATGCCTAGCCTTAGTTTGACTTATTTCTAGCCAGCTTTTCTTAAATTATCCCATTTATCTTTTGCCTCTGGGCTTTTACCTTTATTTCTTTATATCTTTCTTTATTTCTTACTCTGTGGCTTGCTGTATAGCTGGTAACTGACCCCTGATATCCTCTCTCCATTTCTCTTTTGTCGATCTTCTCCCTCCAGATTTCTCCTCCTATTGATTCTGCCTGCCAGCCCAACCTAACCTTTCTCCTGCCTAATTAACCATTCAGCTCTTTATCAGGCCAATCTGGTGTTTTAGACAGGCAAAGCAACACAACTTCACAGAGTTAAGCAAATGCAATACATCTTTGCATCATTAAGGAAATGTTCCAAAAGATAAACAAATGTAACACATCTTCAACTAATAATCCACAACACTTAGGGGGATGAAAGGGAGAACAGGAGGGTATCTTGCATAAAAAGTTAAGAACATCTTGAAGCAAAGAAGAGTGACCCTAACGGTTGGAGTATTTCAGGGAAATGCAGCTATTTCCGTTGACTTAATGTTTAAATTAAGTCTCAAAATGTAGACACTATAGGCATCTGAATTCTTGGATGTTAAGAGAGTAACAATGAATTTTACTTAGTAGGTGTTAATAAACTAATGTATATAGGGGACTTCAGTGGATGTTCACTTTCTCAGGAAGTCTAAGATGGCAATTACCCATGCTGAATGGTGGAGAGAGAAAAGTTTAGAAGTAAAAAGACCAACAGAAAAGTCTCTAAAGTGATTACAACATGTAACTGTTTTGGCTATAGTGCAAGGAATGGCATATCACCCTCACTCTGCCAGTGATGAACGATGTTTTGTCTAATGTTTACACTGATTTATTCCCTAATGATTTTTTTGTAATATTTAAAGCAAAGATTGTTCTATAATTTAAAAATGATTATGTATTTACCTCTGATAAGGACCACTTTTGATATTTTATGCACCCCTTTCTTATACCATAGGTTCTTAATGTTATCATTTATATATCTGTATACATATTTCTCCAGTTACACCAAATATGACCCTTTATAATTTGTTCAAATACATATTCAAGCAAAATCAACACTTTACCTTGGCTATCATATATACAACATATTATGGTCATGTTACTTGGTAGTTATTAGCATGATTCCCTATGTTTCTTTTTCTACACTTATTAATTAGTGATATTATGTCATGCTTTCTAATTAAGCTGTCGCACTATTTTCTGATCCTAAGGTAAAACTATGACACATCTGACCTTCATTCAGCTGAGTCATAAATACCATGTGCAGGACATCATACTGGAGGATAAGTGTGGATCGCAGATGTCTGTAAAGCAGGTCCCCACCTCCCGGACTCTAGAATCTGGAGGAAAAATAATGGTTAAAATGCACAGAGGTAAGAATAAGTGATGGTCATATAAATTAGTTAAGAGGAAAATGTTACAGTGTTTTAGATGGAGGGGTAAACTAGGAGATGAACTGAGCTATGGGGGAATTTAGCAGATCAGATGGACAGGTTAGGCAATCAGTAATTTAAGAGGAAGTTAGGTTAAGAGGAAATCAAAAGAGTTCACGATGTAATCTCAAACTGTAGTCAGAGGACTATGTGAAAAGCGTGGGGTACAGAAACAAATATCACATGGAGAAAATGAGGATGTTCTCAAGGGAATCTGAATAAAATAAGCCATTCAAGATGTGCAAGATTTGCCTGAAAACATTAAGTAAGGTCTGGCTTGGGAGAACATTACATGGCAAGCAAAATAATTTGAATATTGTCTTCTAAAACAAGAGACTACAAGACCCATTCATTTTCTCCTTACATGGAAACGATTGGATTTTATGTAAAATTGATATTTCATTAATAGGCAAAACACAACTGTTCATTTCACAAGGAACTTGAAAGTGGTTTATACATTCCAACAGCAGTAATTTTTTAAATATTTATGACAAATTTGCAAGAAAACTCTGTGCTTTATTTTGCCCAACAACTAGGTGCTCCATTCTTAGAAAATCTAAACAAACTGGAATTGATTTAATCAACACCACAGCAGCAGACCACAGAGACTCTTACAAGGAAGAGTTAACTGTATCTTGGTGTAAAATAAAAACCTAACAAACTTATCATGAGAAAAACTAGTAAACACATATCTGCCAAGATCAATTTTTCATCTATTATTAAAGTGTGTGTTTTCTCCCCACTGATGACAAATGTGAGTTGACTCATAATATTTTTTCTTTACCAGAACAATACAGATTTTCATTACTGAAATATTCAAATGGCAGCTGACATATTCAATTCATCAAAGAAAATATATGTTGGATATGACACAGTATTATTGGTAAGTAATTTCTTCCTGCATGTTTAGTCTTTGTTAAATTATGGCTAAGATAATCTATGTAATTTTCATTGTAAAATATTTTAGAAAACCTATATATGTCAAAAATTGTGCTAGATTTTGGAGATAATAAAATCATATAAAAATCATTGTATTCTAATGGTATACATTCAAGAATCTCACACTATACATACAACATACAACACAAACTATGCATACCACAGCATATTCACATATACACACACCACAGTCATAAGCACATGAATACACATATACATGCACACACCACATACATCAACACCGCCATCAAGTAAAAGGATTAAAATAAAGAAATTATTTGCTTTGTGTTAGGGTTCCTCATTAGCAAAACTATAAACAATCAGATAAAATCCTTCCTAGGACTGGAGAGCTGTCACTTCTTCAGTTATGACGAACAAAACTGTTTCCTGTCTGCAGATACTGCCAGAAGCCCAGGGAGAACTGAGGACAAAGCCTCTTGTAGCTTGAACTGCTGGATTAGAAGGATTGCAATTTCTAATTGCAATTTGCTAATGGAGACAACACGCTGCTGAGGAAAGCGAGGGAAATTCATAGTGTGTGGTCGCTGATACAACTAACTCGAAATAAAGCACGTTCGGAGTACAAAAAAACGAAAAGGTGATAAAGCTCAAATCTGGAAGAGAAATAGTTAAATACAAGTTGTGTTTAGGGGCCATGTAGCTTTCAGTGTTTCAGGAATAGATAATAAAATGTATAAAGGAACAATGCAACCCCTGGCATTATAAAAAGCAATCATATTGTTGAGATCATTAAATAAAAAGCTTTTTTTCTTTTCATTTTGTAGAAATGCTAATTGAATATACAAATGAAATTAATAAAACATGATTTTAGAAATGTCAATGGCGGTGTTAATCCATATAAGAGACTGCTTATAATTAATTGGAGGTTCTGGGGACAGGCGTCACAGTGGGTGATGAGCGGGAAGAGCAAGTATTCAGCTCTGGACCTTATGTCTGTGTTTGAGCCTGTAAGTTGCTGAGGTCCTCTCATAGAGTTCACACCACAGTAGGGCTGCTCAGCAGGGTTTCTCAGTCACAGGGGACCCTGTGGAAAGTTGCAGCTGCTGTTGTAGACTCTTGAGGGATTTAAAATAGCAGCTCTGCAGTGACACAGAAAGTGTGTGTCAGGGCTTCTGAATGGGCTCACTGAAGGAAAAAAAAGTATTAAATTCTAAAGCCTTTGACAGAACAAGTGTTCAGTGAATTTTTTTTCTTGTGCATGTGTTTATGTCTTGTTTTTCTGTATGTCTCTGTGTGTACAGCTGTGTCTGAGGTGCACTCCTTGTGATTGCAAGTGTACATGTGCACACATAGATTTGAAGCCCAGAGGTGGGTGCCAGGTCCTCAGTCACTTTCCACCTTAGTTTTTTCTTCTTTTTTTTCTTATTTATTTATTAAAGATTTCTACCTCCTCCCCGCCACCGCCTCCCATTTCCCTCCCCCTCCCCCAGTAAAGTCCCTCTCCCTCATCAGCCCAAAGAGCAATCAGGGTTCCCTACCCTGTGGGAAGTCCAAGGACCACCCACCTACATCCAGGTCTAGTATGGTGAGCATCCAAACTGCCTAGGCTCCCACAAAGCCAGTACGTGCAGTAGGAACAAAAACCCATTGCCATTGTTCTTGAGTTCTCAGTAGTCTCTCTCACTGAACCTAGAGCTCACCAATTAAATAAGGTTGGTGGCTACCAAGCCTCAAGGATTCCCCACCCTACCTCCCAGGACGACATTACTGTATCCAGCCTTTTATATGGATGTTGGGGATGTGAAGGCAGGTCCTCATGCTCCATGGGAGGCACTCTGCCTACTGAGCCATCTCCCCAGTCCCTGATGAAGGTTTCTAAATTTAATATTAGTCCTTGTCTCATCAGGCAGTGCTATGGCTCCACATTTCTCAAATACTTTGAGAGCATCAGTTGAAGAGTATCTTCATTTTCTCATTTTCAATGTGAATTATTAGGCCAAGACACAGTTCTGTATCATTGATGTTCTCTACAACTAAGTTGTGAGACCCCTTGGAGTCCCTACTTGAACAACTAAACCATAGAGTTGAACTAGTTTGCCCTTGGTTAGCAACTCCACTATTCTATATCCTCAAGAAGAGTAATATTCTGCATAGATATCAAACCCTTTCTGTCCAGATGATATGGTATTAACATAGTAAAATAAAATCAAGCAGAGGTTCAGGCACTTGAATTCTCCCACTTGCCCCCAAGCATGAGCATTTGTTGTGTTTATCCATGCACTAGCATGTGCTGATTTTGGAAGATCTTCAAACTTGCATCTTTGATATTATAAATGTATTGTATGTGGTAGTCACAAAAATATTTAGGTATACTAGTTAAGATATAGAGACATGGTGAAGTAAGAAAAGACAATCTAGACAGAAGAACTGAAAACATAGGGGCTTGGTTAAAAACTGTCACTTTAGGCACAAGTAGTTTTGATTGTTACATAATAAACAGGGAAAAACACGTATGGTAATAAAATCAGGAGATTTCTCTTTCTGGCAGTTAGATAAAAAATATAGGAATGTTGAGAGAGAGAAGTTAAAAGGGTGTTGTAATAATCTAAGTGTTTGTTTATCAAAAGCAATTTTAAAGATTCTACAGCATTAATAACACTTTATTAGATACAAATTAATGTTTGCTTGAACTAGGGCAGTGGCTACAGAAATGGAAATGATGCTGTTGAATATTAATGAGATAATTAAAGCAGTTCAGGATGCTCATGTACTTGAGGCTGTTATGCCAACACTGCCTCACTTTTCATATTTGAAGATGAGCCACAGGATTGGGACATTTTCTCAAAATGAATGGCAATGAGAGCCTTGAGGGGAATTCGGCTCGCTGTGCAGATCCACCGCGTGCCAGGCTGACATGCTTCTGACAGCAAGGCACCAGCTGAGAGAGGAGGGCTGGGGATGAGGAAGCCAGGCAAGCCACTCAGTGTTATCAAAGGCTCCATGTCTTCAGTCTCCCCACAGAGCATCAGAGAGCGTGCGTGTGCTCAATAAAAGAAATGAATGTAACCGCTGAGCCCTGTCATTGGTCATGTCTGCTCTTGTGGCTCTAGATGGAAGGCGATTTTCAAGGGTCTCAAAAGCTATCCCCAGTTTTGCTTTATTTTGTTTTGTTTTAATTTAACCTGTAACATTGTGGAAGGAAACTATCAGGCCATTATAGTGACTGTCAGTGAATCAGGGAACTTATTTGAAAGTCATTTTAATTTTTCCACATAGCTATACAGCTCTACTGTTTTTTTTTTCTAGAAATGATGTAAACACTCACATTGTCAGAAAACTTTTTTTTGTCCAAATTTTATTTTGGCTTAATTCTGAATTACTATAAGATGTGAGAAGTGGTTGAGCAAAGACATGATTCTGTGATCCTTCTAGTTTATTGATATAAGTGGCATGGCCAGGAATTCCTAATGAAGTAACATGTATTACAACAGTCCTAATAATGCATCTTATACAACTCATATTTATTTATCAATTTGTTATGTAAGGGAATTTTCTTTTATGTAACTTCTTCACAGGACTCTGGAAACTTTAGCATCTTCAGGGAATATGTTGCTCTTATTTTAAACATGAGTAGAGAAAGGTATCTGAAACTTTATGTAAATGTATGATTTTAGTTCATTTTACCCTGAGGCACTAAAATTCTACACTGAAACATGCAGTAAGGTATCAGTGCTTTTCATTTATATTTCATAATTTTGCTTTTATTTAAATTACGCTATATGTTATTGATATATAAAACATAAATTTTATGTTAATTAGTTAATGCCATTTTGATACATACAAGTATTTTGTGACAATTTTGTCACTTTAAAGAGTTCTGATACCTCAAATTTATTTGGGGTAAAAACTTAGAAAATACTTCATTATCTTATTTGAAACACGAAGTACTTTGTCATTACAGTGTTTCTCTTTTATGAGGAATTGCAGAAGGGCTCCAGCACTCTTTCTTCATTACGGTATTTAGTCTAGTGAAAGAGAGGATATTAAGTCAGTACATGGAAACCATGCTACCACTGTGATGAAAAATACATAGCCAAAGTGTGCATGAATTTTTATAATGTTGCTCATTCTTCCTCTACTGTGTTTAAAATTCTAACCCCAAATCTCAGAAGTTTTTTTGCGAAGAAAACACAGGCATGACTTGTGGCTTCTATAAACTGTATACGGTATTCAAAGAGTCGAGGAGAGCTACCGTGATTATTAGCATATATTCAGCAAATGGTTCCTGTATTTTGATATTCCTGGGAAATACTTAAAATTCTGCATATTTGTATCTTGGGAACAACTTTCTGAGTCAATGTTCCTAAATTTTCCTTTTTTTTTTCCTCCTCCCACTTTTCCCATCAGTCAGCCAAGAGGCAGTTAGTTCTCTTTGGTTGCTAAATATGATTTATCTGCTTTTGAAATTACAAAAAAAAAAAAAAGAAAAGAAAAAAAGAATGCAAAGCCTGTGGTGGATTTTCTGCTTTGGTAAATAGGTCACAGTTTGTCAAATCTAGAATATATTAAGGCTTTGTGGATTCTGTTTTTCTCAAACACTAAGCTACTGAACTGGATATCAAAGGGTAATTTATTTTGTTGTAAGTAGGCTTTTACTATTTTCTTTAAAAAAAAAAAACTCAAAGCATGAGTACTTCACAAGATAAACCAGGTGATGAATTAGAATAGCTAAGGAAGGGGGGATATTGGTTTTCATTTATGCTTGCCCTTCCGTGCATACCGACAATGGTCGTGACCTGAGATCTGTAGGATATTTGCCTTGTTAATTGTCTGTGGTACTGATGAATTTAAAGTGATCTATCACAGGGGAAAATGTGCAAAGGATCCTGTCACAGAGTCGCTTCTACCTACATTGTAAGCAAAATGGCTGTCCTCTTAGGGCCGGAGCCTAACCCACGGGCATTAGCACTCTGCCTTTATACCAAGTAGAAAGTACACGTGCTGAGGATTTCACCGTTGGCAACCAATCACCTCAAGGCTAAGTTTTATCTGGATATTTCTTTTGTGAATTCTAAATTATTTTTTAATTGAGCTGTGTTAGACCTTTGTGTCTTATACTTTAACATCATTCTACTGAACTTCTCACGCAAATGATAAAATATAATATATATGCATACTACCTCAGACTTTACTATTTTTTTTAAATACAGTGACTACCACAGGGTCTGGAAGGCAAATGCTCAGTGTGATTGCTTCCATTCCCTTTTACTCTGTGACCTTGATCATACAGTGTTCTGCGTTGGGGAAATTCTCATCCAGGACTGTTCAACATGTCTTTTATTATTTCCCCTAAAGATCTTTTTGGCATGTAAATAATATTTAGGTAGATTATAAGTTGTTTTAATGAACACATTTCAAGTGCCCTTATTCAAATTTGGTGCAATCCTCTCACATAGCCGTTCCAATCTTCTCTTTAAATTTATTTTGTGAGAATATATTAATGATGTAAAACTGTTATGAACGAGTCATTCATCTTCATCTCCTCTTGTCCCCATCACTGGCCCCATTTCTTTTCCAAAGCAAACATTCTTCTATTCTTATGTTTTCAAAAGAAAACCCTAGGTTCTGTATCTGAGAGAAAAAAAAAAAAAAGTTATATTTATCATTCTGCATTTGAGTTAGATTTATTACTATGCTAAAAAGCATATGATTTTATTTTTATTTATGGCTAAAGTATGTGTGGGGGTCTGCCTGTCTGTCTGTTTATGAGTGTCTGTGTGGTAG